TCCGCAAGATACGGAAGAAGAAATTTCCTGCTCCATAACACAGGTGACTTTGCGCTAAATTTCGGGAGAGGTAAGCATTCCTGTTTCCTAACCCTAATTTTAATTTTCCCGAGATTTAGTGCAAAGTCAATTGTATCACGGGGGGCTCCTGTTTCCATGCCCTGGTTAGGGGGTCATATAAACTATCCCCACCGCATTCGGTTGCTGAGACTGGATGATGAACTGCGACGTGTATCTTATGGATAGCCACCCCTACTCCTTGAAGGTTCTCATACTATCCTCGGCGATATACTCTCCAGAACGTATAACTTCAGATGACCCCTCCCCTGTCATCCACAGGCAATCAATTTCTGTTCCCAAACCAGAAGTTAACTCATCAATCTGACATTTCTCTTATCGGAAGTCCTACCGAATCACCCTCCTCAAAACACTATTTTCTCAGTTCTTGCTGGCACCTCTCCTCCAGTATTGGAACTGCTGCCGCAGACGGTGAAGATGTGCCAAGTGGGGTCAATCGACGCAGTAGTGTGATCGTATTGTGACCATTTGTCCTTATCTTCCTGATAGTATACTTGATGAGTAGGGTTTTCACTGCCTACCCGTAAGATAAATTATGCCTCGTAAAACAGCGATAGGCGACAAACGCTGCCACATTTTAGGTGTTGCCGAGTAGGCATGGGAATGGTTAGCCAATAGCACATTTCCTTTGGGTGTCTTGAGGACTCTTCTGCTGTGTAAATTAAACATCAGCGTCACCATCTTCGTATCTATGACCTGCGGTTTCCCTAACGTAATTAGATCAGGTGCCTTCCCTGTTGATGGACTCTTGGGACTGACGACATAACACAGTTTGGTCTGGCGCCCTACAAGTTCATTAGCAGAATTGGAAATATGATATGGATGAAAAGAGGGTTACTACAACAAGTATGTTGGAATTAAGCAAACAGAAAATTATGACGAATATCTACATAGAAACTATGTTTAGAAGCTAAGCACCCGTGGACTGAACTTAAAACTGCTAATTATCAACTGCGTATAAGTTATGTAGAATTTAGAAACTGTGCGTCCTCCCTGGGGAGTTCAGGGCGTTGCTCTACAGCGAGGCGTCTGGGGCGGTTTGTACTTAAGATCTCATAAGGTTTCAGAGGGACTCCAGACTACGATTTTATGCCTATCGACTTTATGCCTGATATCTACAGAATCTACTCATGCAAAATTCCGCAATTTACGAAGATGGTCATTGGGTCATGTTCGTAGAATCAGTCAAACACGAAAATTCATTGCCGAGAAAAATGAACGTTTACAACAAAAGTCCAGCATTAATATGCCTAAGATCAATGTAACAACTTTCTATAACAATTTACCTCTTTAAAAGCACCTAAATTATATATTCAGCTGACGAAGATCTGTGTAAGTTATATCTTTCAAGGTTACCTCAAAATAAAAGTGGGGAACTTTGAACGGCTGTTGATCTGAGGAGAAGATATGATCACTGGGAGAAGACTTTTATTCTCCTGACGTTTATAAATCCTTCGCAGATTCTTCATCAGAGTCATTAGCAAAAACAACAGCAGAAACGGGTGTCTGCTACCGTTTTTAGTTCCCTAAAAACATTATTATAAAATTTCTGTTATAAAATAAAGGATACTTTTTTCTCCTAATATTAGGGCTTTTTTCGCTATATTGGATTACTGTTTGCCCTACTCTAGGATTCCAAATGCACCAAAGAGTGACCAAATATATGCTAAGATTTTGCGAAACCTGTTAATTTTCTGTCCGTTACGCTTCTAAATTGCACGTTACGGGAAATTATATTATAAGAATATTATCTTGTGACATGCTTCAAATTTAATATAGCTTGTTGTGGGTATCCGTCTTCAATACAAATATACGTATTTGTTTGCGGTCCCAAATATCGGTGTGGTAAAAAAAAAGAAACATTAGAAAAGTTTATTAATTCCTTTTGTAGCGAAAAATATACTGCCAAAAAATAACTGTTAAAGCGGAATTCGTTTCTTGGTTCTGGAAAACAATGTTATTCCTAGCACTTGCTTTCATCTGATTTTCACTGACTTAAAATCAGACCTTCTGGTTCTATGAGATTTTTGGCACAACACACAGAAACAATAATTTTTTCTGTAGGAAAGTTCTTGCATATCCGGCAACAACCGATTTCACCGAAATCCTGCCGGTTTTCCTTTAGTTTACAAGATTACACTTATAAATTTCTTTAATAAAAGGCCTTCTGAACTTCAACTACAGTAAAAAAAAACGTATAGCAGGAGTTAATGTACGCGCTCATGTATCGATCACGCCATGGAATGAGTAAGGTCACCTAATGTGCACGTTAGGCCGTAATATGCATGTGGGTCTAATGTGCATTTTATACTCCGGGCACAATTTGTGGAAAGCCATGGTTCGGAACACAACTGACCAAACGCATGTTCCATGTAGCATTCAGCGATCACAAGACAAGCATTAATTGAATTTTAAAATGCTTGATAAAATTGCATCCATCACGTAATAACTTATCCACGAACAAGTGGTGTTACGCCTGAATGTTCGAGGCTCAAATAGGCCATCGCGTTAAGTATCCCCGAAAAAATTGGGGGCCGGGTTTTTCACCAAATTGCATTTGCACTGTCATTTCGGAAGCGTTTTCTTGTCGGTTACCATTTTTTGCTCCATCTCTCTTCCTGCTTGCCTTTATCTGCTCAACCGTTCCTTCTGCCTCTAATCCTGACCGTTATCGACGCACGAAACTTGACCGTCCGTTTACTGCTGAACAGCTGACCTCTCCGGGGACGATCGCAGGCGGGCTTCTCACAATGGCTTAGGTTAATAGGGAAGAGACTTGCCGCTGCGATCTTCAGGCCCGGTTGCCTGTGGGAAGAAAAGAAGTGGGACGCCAGGTGGAAGGGATACTTTATTATGTACATAAGAAGTGAAGAATAGGTTGAAGGAGGTTGACTGCCAGACGAGCGTGCGTCCGTTTCCAAGAGGAACGGCGCCTGAAGAGGGAGAGCGCGGGAGTCATCACAGCGTCTACAGCGCGGTCATAAGTGAGTCAGCCACATGAAGATGAATCACCAGACCGGATTGGAGTAGGCAGACACTGGTGTGTGCGCACTTGCTAGCAGTCGCGAGAGGTTGAGTGTGTTTTACTGTTACCAAAATCAAGATGTCACCATCTAATTACGCCCTGGTTAAATCCTCAAGGAAGAACACAACAAGGAGGACGAGAAAGTGGAAGTCAGCAGAATGAGGGTTCTGTTGTGCACAGAACCCGAGGTTGCTGTCTCGGACAGCAGTGGCCGCTGGCGAAACCATGGCTGATGTTAACTGCGTCCAGTCACGCCTGAAAGTCTCTGCGAATCTCTTGTGTGAGATGTGACAGTTGTTTTAAGTGATTGTGAAGCGAGTTCAAGTATTGCATAATTGGTGTGTCAGATTGCTCGCGTGTCGAGTATTGAGGTCCCCTGCTGCGTGGCCGTAGGGTGGCGCGCTCAAGTGGCTCTTGTGAAACTGCGACTAGTTGCGTACGCGCGTGTGCCCATCTGTGTGCGCATGTGCGAGTGAATATTGGTCAAGCGGTTTAAGGTCGGTTAGTGGGAACAGTCATCTGCGACGACACATGACCTTTAGGCAGTTCGCATTGAACACGGAACCATTGTTGGCTATCCACACAGGAGCGACTCGTCAGGACAGTCTGCAAGCGATTCGGTTAGGCTTGCAGGGGTTCGAGTTCAACAGAATCCATGTTGCCAATAGAAGCAAACATGCGAGCCCCAGGAATTAATTGAGAAGACGACTCGGTCGCTGGTGCAATACTTTTATTCGCCTGACGTTTCGAGATCCATCGGGGATTCCTCATCAGAGACATAGTCAGATAGCAGATATGGGTCTGCCATTACCAATCAATCGGTCCACGTTCACCAACAAATGCCAATATTTCCGATCTAACCTGGCAAAACAAAGGACCTGTGGAGCAATGGATCAGAGCGTTGGTTTTATAAGCAACAGGCCGCAAGTTCAAACCTTGGATAGTACAGCACCTGGGGTTGGGCATGGCTAGCCGATGACGACTAATGAACGATAACTGACTATTCCACGGCAATGTATCATTTTCCTCTCTATCATAATAAATTACTGTTTATATGGTGGAGACTGCTTATAACCCACTTCCGCCATGCAGGTGAGTTATGCGTTAAACTCGGTGGAAGTTAGGGTTAGGATTAGCATAGGGTCAGAGTTAAGGATGGGATCAGGGTTAGCTCACGGGACTATGTGCCCTTCCTGGGATTAAGCGCAAGACCACCTGTATTACGAAGGGGAAAGAGGGCGCATTCTTATGATCGTGCTTTGTCCGGGAGGGGCGGGCACACAAGCAACTCCTACCGTTTCTATTCTTTTTATGCCAAGACTACACTTCTACCACATCAGCTGCGGATTTGCATAGCTTGCGACAGTTGAGTGAAATAAGCATGCGAAACCCGTAACCCAGACTATTCACAGACAGCCAGGATGATAGTTTCTTAACTGTACCGTGAAAAAAAAAAATGCTTAACAGCACGGATCTGAACCCAGGCGGAATACCACAGTCCCTCTTTTAGGGTCAATTTTGGAATCCAACCTCGCCTTTGGCATTTCCGAAGATACTTGATGTTCGTAAAAAAAGTATGTCAGCACTAGAATTCGCTAATAGGCCTGGTGGGTTACAAAAACAACCAGGAACAACAGATCAACGACCACAAACAAGGGTGGAGGAGCAAGAAAATGAAACAAAGGCGGCATCTAGAACACATAGTAGGAAAAGATATTTTCGAGCGAAAGCAAAAGAAATGTTTGGTTTACAAAGCGGAAAGTAAAGGATTCTCCAACCAGAACAGATAAAACGGAGGAGACTTTATCGAAATGTCAAAAGAAATGGACAGAGAAGCCAAAATTAGAATTGATAATGGCATAAGTTGGCTGGTTTCTTCGCTGTCGCGAGGTCAGAGTTAACGGTCCCACCAGAAGGCATTAGAGGTTCCCCCAGGTGGATGAGCCGTCTTCACAGAGGTATGAATGATACGCTGACCAGGCGGCAACGCTTCTGGAACAGAAAAAGGAAGGAGTTCTGTTGTAGGGTAAGCCACAAAAAGTAAGGAGTGTGCAAAATAGTCTTCTTTAGTAGAAGATATAGCATAAAGCAAACTCAAAGGCTGTACCTAAGCAAGGTTTGAGCAGCTGGGCCGTGTTCATAATCATTTCGGAATTAGATAACCTTTTACATTATAGCCATCTTGCTTCTTGAGGTTAGCAAATAGTTGTTGCTTACCTTTAATGAGAAAACAATATCTTTTTTCTAATACTGCTTGCCCAGTTATCTATCTTACACAAAAAGGCAACGTCGGTTGGCTCGGTGCTTTTTTGCTTCAAGGAAGTTTGAATTAACTACATCATCCACCTCAGGCTCGGTTGTCATTTTAACTAGCCGCTAGGGAAATGTTTGGTGAGCACCAGTCCGAACTCGACCTGCTTCCTAATGCATGAAGGGCATTTATATATTTATTCTATGGGCCTAGGAAAGTGTCACTAAATGAATGGTATGTCGCCGGACAGAGGCGGAACGAGATGCCAGGAGATAAAAATTGTTTCTAGTCCTAGAAAGGTCGTTTTGGACTCAGCCGAACCTGACAATTCCTCGTAATCGTCAAAAGGTGACGTCTCCTTAAACAGCGACCAATAAACAGCGCCCAACAACTACGGGGAACCAAAATGAATACCGAAAGAAGTGATTGGAGATACGTAGCCAGGACGTGCACACCAAAACAGCTCAAGGGTAAGTTAAAACGACATACTACTCGACTTAACACAACGATTTACACATATTTATGCATGACTCACCCTTGGGTACATTGTCGTAAACCTCCTTCCGATAGTAATATCCTTCCCGCGGCGGGGTCTTCTCGTGCCCGTTGAGATTGAACACAGGCCCGGTGTAGGCCTCACGTGGCACAGCTTTTAATGCAGATTCCTGACTCCTCTTGACGGTCTCTGTGCGACCAAAAGTGAAAATCCCAAACGGCTCGGGAGCGAGCAGTAGACCAGAGCCGGGTTCCACAGACGACTCTACTGGTCGACCGTGTTGGACAACAACTCTGCCACGAAGCACCACCACCTCCGGTGCGCAAGTTGAGAGTTCGAGACCCTCGAAGGGGTCGATTACACCGTCAGGAAGCAGTCCGGC